TCTGGAGGAGCCTCCAACTGCCTCCTGGTTGAGGTTGAGGTCAAGTTCAATGAGGCCATCATATGGGGCACATCTGGGGGTCTAGCGATGTGGATTTTGGGATCTGGAGGAGCCTCCAACTGCCTCCTGGTTGAGGTTGAGGTCAAGTTCAATGAGGCCATCATATGGGGCACATCTGGGGGTCTAGCGATGTGGATTTTGGGATCTGGAGGAGCCTCCAACTGCCTCCTGGTTGAGGTTGAGGTCAAGTTCAATGAGGCCATCATATGGGGCACATCTGGGGGTCTAGCGATGTGGATTTTGGGATCTGGAGGAGCCTCCAACTGCCTCCTGGTTGAGGTTGAGGTCAAGTTCAATGAGGCCATCATATGGGGCACATCTGGGGGTCTAGCGATGTGGATTTTGGGATCTGGAGGAGCCTCCAACTGCCTCCTGGTTGAGGTTGAGGTCAAGTTCAACCAGGGCATCGTGTGTAGGGCAGATATTTGGGTCTGGAGGAGGCATCAGATGGCCCCAGGTTGAGGTTGAGTCCAGGTTCAACCAACCCCGTCATTTGTGGGGCACATCTGGAGATCAGAGGGGCCTCTGGTTGGCTCTTAGGGAAGATGGAGTCCAAGTTCAACCAGGGCATCATGTGTAGGGCAGATGTCGGGGTCTGGAGGAGCCTCCAACTGCCTCCTGGTTGAGGTCAAGTAGTTCAATCAGGTCATCATATGTAGGGCAGATATTGGGGGTCTGGAGGAGCCTCCAACTGCCTCCTGGTTGAGGTGGAGGCCACCTTCAGCTGGCTCCTGGTTGAGGTGGAGGCCAAGTTCAACCAGGGCATCACGTGTAGGGCAGATATCAGGGTCTGGAGGAGCGTTCAGCTGGCTCCTGGTTGAGGTGGAGGCCAAGTTCAACCAGGGCATCACGTGTAGGGCAGATATTGGGATCTGGAGGAGCCTTCAACTGCCTCCTGGTTGAGGTCAAGTTCAACCAGGGCATCACGTGTAGGGCAGATATCAGGGTCTGGAGGAGCGTTCAGCTGGCTCCTGGTTGAGGTGGAGGCCAAGTTCAACCAGGGCATAATGTGTAGGGCAGATATCGGGGTCTGGAGGAGCCTTCAACTGCTTCCTGGTTGAGGTTGAGGTCAAGTAGTTCAACCAGGTCATCATGTGTAGGGCAGATATTGGGGTCTGGAGGAGCCTCCACCTGCCTCCTGGTTGAGGTCAAGGCCAAGTTCCACCAACCCCATCATGCGTGGGGCACATTGGAGACCCAGAGACGCCTCCAGTTGAGTCCAGGTTCAACCAGGGCCACGTTCCGACGCCGGAAGGGGGGGATGACACTAGCGACCTAGGGACAGATTCGGGGCACGCCGGGGACATCTGCAGGCCCAGGAGGGGACATTAGAGACCCTCCTGGTCCCCAAGAACTCCCGGTCCCCCCGTTTCCTCCCACCGCAGGGGTGAAGGAGCTGAGCCGGAAGCTGGTGATCGTCAACGGGGACGACCCGCTGAGCCGGCAGGCGCAGGAGAACGCAACGCTGCTCTTCAACATCCACCTGCGCTCCACGCTCTGCAGCCGCCGCATGGTCGAGGAGTTCCGCCTCAGCGGCGAGGCCTTCGACTGGCTCCTGGGCGAGATCGAGTCCAAGTTCAACCAGGCCATCGTGCGTGGGGCGCGTCGGGGGGGCCGGCGGGGCGGATTGTCCCCTGTGTGTCCCTAGGGCCACAAGGTGTCCTAGTGGCCATGAGATGTCCCAGTGTCCCCACGGCCATGGGGTGTCCCCCGGGCTACGCATTGCACCAGTGTCCCCTCTATGCCCCCAGTGGCCATGAGGATGTCCCAGTGTCCCCTCTGTGTCCCCAGTGACCATGAGATGTCCCAGTGTCCCCACGGCCATGGGATGGCCCCAAGGCTGCAGGGTGACCCAGTGGGTCCCCTCTGTGTCCCCATGGCCATGGGGTGGCCCCTGTGTGTCCCCACATCTACACGTTGTCTCAGTGGCCCCTCTGTGTCCCCAGTGGCCATGAGATGTCCCAATATCCCCTCTGTGTCCCCAGTGACCATGGGGTGTCACCACCCCTGTCCCTGGGTGTCCCCAGGGCTACACGTTGTCCCAGGTGTCCCCTGTGTGTCCCTAGGGCCACAAGGTGTCCTAGTGGCCATGAGATGTCCCAGTGTCCCCACGGCCATGGGGTGTCCCCCGGGCTACGCATTGCACCAGTGTCCCCTCTATGCCCCCAGTGGCCATGAGGATGTCCCAGTGTCCCCTCTGTGTCCCCAGTGACCATGAGATGTCCCAGTGTCCCCACGGCCATGGGATGGCCCCAAGGCTGCAGGGTGACCCAGTGGGTCCCCTCTGTGTCCCCATGGCCATGGGGTGGCCCCTGTGTGTCCCCACATCTACACGTTGTCTCAGTGGCCCCTCTGTGTCCCCAGTGGCCATGAGATGTCCCAATATCCCCTCTGTGTCCCCAGTGACCATGGGGTGTCACCACCCCTGTCCCTGGGTGTCCCCAGGGCTACACGTTGTCCCAGGTGTCCCCTGTGTGTCCCTAGGGCCACAAGGTGTCCTAGTGGCCATGAGATGTCCCAGTGTCCCCACGGCCATGGGGTGTCCCCCGGGCTACGCATTGCACCAGTGTCCCCTCTATGCCCCCAGTGGCCATGAGGATGTCCCAGTGTCCCCTCTGTGTCCCCAGTGACCATGAGATGTCCCAGTGTCCCCACGGCCATGGGATGGCCCCAAGGCTGCAGGGTGACCCAGTGGGTCCCCTCTGTGTCCCCATGGCCATGGGGTGGCCCCTGTGTGTCCCCACATCTACACGTTGTCTCAGTGGCCCCTCTGTGTCCCCAGTGGCCATGAGATGTCCCAATATCCCCTCTGTGTCCCCAGTGACCATGGGGTGTCACCACCCCTGTCCCTGGGTGTCCCCAGGGCTACACGTTGTCCCAGGTGTCCCCTGTGTGTCCCTAGGGCCACAAGGTGTCCTAGTGGCCATGAGATGTCCCAGTGTCCCCACGGCCATGGGGTGTCCCCCGGGCTACGCATTGCACCAGTGTCCCCTCTATGCCCCCAGTGGCCATGAGGATGTCCCAGTGTCCCCTCTGTGTCCCCAGGCCTACACGTTGTCCCAGTGTCCCCTATGTGTCCCCAGGGCCACAAAGTGTCCCCATGGCCATGAGATGTCCCTGTGTCCCCAGTGACCATGAGATGTCCCAGTGTCCCCACGGCCATGGGATGGCCCCAAGGCTGCAGGGTGACCCAGTGGGTCCCCTCTGTGTCCCCATGGCCATGGGGTGGCCCCTGTGTGTCCCCACATCTACACGTTGTCTCAGTGGCCCCTCTGTGTCCCCAGTGGCCATGAGATGTCCCAATATCCCCTCTGTGTCCCCAGTGACCATGGGGTGTCACCACCCCTGTCCCTGGGTGTCCCCAGGGCTACACGTTGTCCCAGGTGTCCCCTGTGTGTCCCTAGGGCCACAAGGTGTCCTAGTGGCCATGAGATGTCCCAGTGTCCCCACGGCCATGGGGTGTCCCCCGGGCTACGCATTGCACCAGTGTCCCCTCTATGCCCCCAGTGGCCATGAGGATGTCCCAGTGTCCCCTCTGTGTCCCCAGGCCTACACGTTGTCCCAGTGTCCCCTATGTGTCCCCAGGGCCACAAAGTGTCCCCATGGCCATGAGATGTCCCTGTGTCCCCAGTGACCATGAGATGTCCCAGTGTCCCCATGGCCACAGGGCTACACATTGTCCCTGTGTCCCAGTGGCCATGAGATGTCCCAGTGTCCCCTATGTGTCCCCAGGCCTACACATTGTCCCACTGTCCCTTGTGTGTCCCCGGTGGCCATGAGGATGTCCCAGTGTCCCCACGGCCATGGGGTGTCCCCTGTGTGTCCCCAGGGCTGCAGGGTGTTCCAGTGTCCCCTCTATGTCCCCAGTGGCCATGAGATGTCCCAGTGTCCCCTCTGTGTCCCCAGTGGCCATGAGGGTGTCCCCTGTGTGTCCCCAGGGCCGCAGGGTGTCCCCATGGCCATGAGATGTCCCAGTGTCCCCTCTGTGTCCCCAGGCCTACACGTTGTCCCAGTGTCCCCCATGTGTCCGCAGGGCCACAAAGTGTCCCCATGGCCATGAGATGTCCCAGTGTCCCCTGTGTGTCCCCAAGACTTCACATTATCCCACTGTCCCCTCGGTGTCCCAGTGGCCATGAGGATGTCCCAGTGTCCCCTGTGTGTCCCCGGGGCTGCAGGGTGTTCCAATGTCCCTTCTGTGTCCCAGGGGCCATGAGATGTCCCAGTGTCCCCTCTGTGTCCCCAAGCCTACACGTTGTCCCAGTGTCCCCCGTGTGTCCCCAAGGCCCCGGGATGTCCCGGTGTCCCTTCTGTGTCCCCAAGCCTACACGTTGTCCCAGTGTCCCCCGTGTGTCCCCAAGGCCCCGGGATGTCCCAGTGTCCCCAAGCCACCCCCCTGTGTGTCCCCAGGGCTGCAGGGTGTTCCAATGTCCCTTTTGTGTCCCAGTGGCCATGAGATGTCCCAGTGTCCCCCGTGTGTCCCCAAGGCCCCGGGATGTCCC